CTGATCTTCTGGATCCTTTTCCATCTTTGTCAAGTCTCTCAGTCAGATGTTTCTCCTCCTCTGTTCAGGTCTTTGAGGACAGAAGGTCCAGGACATGCAGAGGAACTGAAAAACGTTTCTCTCTTAGCTTGTTTTCGTGCTGTACATTAAAACAGGATCAAAATACCACATACATGAGATCAAATTAAATATCTGACAATCAGCCTGTGCCCATTGGTGGTGGTGCAACATGGAGGCAGCTTCTCGAGGCCGAGTCGCTGCAGTCGGACTGCAGGTGGTGACGTCACGTGACCGACGATGAATGTATGAGTCTTTGTGTACGTGGGTGTGTTGGGCAGAGTCCAGTCCCGACAGCCTCGACTGTAACACACCCATAGATAAACACAGTCCAGAGGTCCAGAACTGAGAAGGTTCTGCTGCTCTCAGCTCGTTGTAGAACCGTGTCCATGCAGGTGGACTGATGGAACCACAGCTGGACTCAGTTTGGTTCTTTGAGTTTGTTCTGTGAGGCCTGAATTTTCAGTTTGTTCTTGATTGTTAATAAGATGAAATCCTGAACTCAGAAATGATGAGACGCAGTTTAACAGTTTGACATTTACAGTGTGGCTGAGTTCTGCTGTGACCTGCAGATGATCAACCAGCCTCAGTGTAGCTTCTGAGTCCTGAGCAGATGGAAACTACAGAAGAATGTTCTGATCCGTTTCAGGGTTTATTTACTGAGATGCATCGTTTACTGTTGCTACAGTGAATAAATGGGATCCTTCTGTCTTCGTGCTCTGTGCAGGCCGGTTGTTCCCTTTTATTCCTCCTAACCTCTGCTCAGCTCCCGACACCGAGAGCAAACCTTGTATTCAGTAGCCAGTAAGTCAATATTTGCCTTCGTGATGAAGCTGCGTGGAAGCTAAAGGCCAAAACGTGCCAAAAAAAGCCACTTGAACCCAGTAAATCACAAGTCCGAGTCCGCTGTGCCTTTGTTCCCTCAGAGTTTCTGTTTTTGTTGTAAGCTGTGTGCAGATGTTTGATCTTCACTGTGATGTGGAAAAGAACGGTCATAAAAATAATCAGACTGCTGTTGTGAGAGTTGCTCTGAGGATTGCTGTAAACCTGCCTTCATATAAACCACCAGCTATCAACTGTTGGACTGAATAAACAATGAGCTGATGCTTCTGATCAAACTGTGGACTTTTCATTTCAAATGTTTGAAGCTGTGGTCAGAAAAGGCCACCTCACCGCATGAGACATGACATTTATGTATCCTCGAGGGGCAACTCCAGTAATTCAGCCCGCTGCTGATGGATGATGGATGGACTGAGGAGTTTGGATAAAATGAGCTGCAGCCTGTTTGGTTCGTGTTTATGCGACAATATGAGCTTCAAAGTAAAAGAAGTGAAACTTTCCTGAAAACAACCTCACAAGGTGACGTTCACTGATTCCAACTGTCACTATGAACCATCAGCCTCCATTAGTTTCTGTTTTCTTGTTCTAAGTTTTGTTCTAAACATCCATCATCTCTACACCTTAATCCTCACTATGGGGGGCGGAGCCTATCCCAGCTGACTCAGGGTGAAGGCAGGTTCACCTGGACAGGTAACCAGTCTATCACAGGGCTACACTTAGAGACAGACAACCAAGCACACTCACATTCACACCTACGGACAATTTACAATCACCAATTAACCTCAGCATGTTTCTGGACTGTGGGAGGAAGCCGGAGAACCCGGAGAGAACCCACGCTGCACGGGGAGAACATGGAGACTCCACGCAGGAAGATCCCGGGTGTCCTCACCGGGACGCCAACCGGTAACCGGTGAGCTGTGAGGCGCTAACGGTGCTAACCACCTGCAGCCCTGTTCTAAATGTGTTCTCTGTGGTTACTGCTGTTGTTGGAGTGTGAGCGCCCTCTGCTGGTCGGTGCTGCATCCTGCAGGAGGTTCAACTGTATAAACAAATTTTATTGTGTGAAGCTTGTTTTTGTCGGTCAGAGTGTTATTTGAGGACACAACCTGCAGGACATGTGACACCTGAGCAGGTACGATTCAAATAACTTTATTCATCCTCTAGGGGCAATTCCAGTAATTCAGTACGCTGCTGTTTGACTCACTGATGCATGAGCCACTTGATCTGAGAAGATTTCTTTCAATCTACAGATCGTGTCATGGATCTTCTTGTGCTGGTTTCTTCTCTCTGCTCAGGTGTTCCCATCCTGCTCATCAGTCCTTCAGGTAACTACCTGCTGCACCAGGTGCTGCTGGAGAGCTCCAGGCTGCTGTTTCTAGATCTCAGACAAGAAGATTTTATTTAAACCTGCAACCCCACATGTAGAAAAACTGTTCAGCGGTTTGACTTTGTGAGTTATGAACATCTACTGTTCTGCAGCGTTGTGGCACTTTGGATGAAATGTCGTGTAAACCTCAAGCAGCACTTCCTGTGGGTTGATGTTTGCTCCAGAAGTCTATAAAAATTCATAGTATAGGATATCGTAAAAAACAAGAAGGTGTTATAACAAAGTCATAGTGTAGCTCGTTGGAAAACAAAAACAGTAATCATAAAGCATGGCTCAGAAAGTCGCAGCATGTTGTGGCGTCAGAAAGGACTCATGAAACAGAACAAATCAAACAACTGTTTTATGGACCTCTGCAGCACATTTCATTCAGTTATAATTTATTCAAGTGTCGACTCGTTTCAACAGTTAATAATAATCAGAACTCAAACATTTACAGTCTGTCAGATGTCAAACCTCCGACAGCTCGAAGCTTCGTCGTCTCTCGGCGACACGAGAAACTGTTCAGTCTGAAACTCGGCTGTCCGCTCCGGTTCCACTGTTCTCACTCGGCAACACGTCCGTGTGACGGAAACTGATCCACAACTCTCCTGCTACGACGTGAACCTGCTCTTAGCTTCTGAAAAGGGGATGCTAGAAGAAAGTCTAAGAAAAACCCTGAACATCTTCACGTTGTGTCCAAACTAATCAGAAACGTTACTGCTTCTAGACGAATGTCTGTTGGATGAACAGAGATTCAGGTTTAAATGTGTCAGAGTGAGCGTGCTCAGACTGTTTCACCTGCTGTAATCTGTGGATCACAGACGGTTCAGTGTTTAATGGCTGTTCAGGAGAAGAGTCTTGGATCGTTTTTCAGTTTTTCAGTTGTAGCTGTATCCGGGCAGCGGCAGCTTCTGGCCCTCCTTGGCCTCGAAGAAGGTGTAGGACAGCGTGATGGTCTCCACTCGAGCCATCCGAGGATCCTCGTCGAACTCCGGGTCGATGTAGAAGAAGACGGGCATGTCGACCTCCTCGTGGGGGTTCAGGCGCTGCTCCTCGAAGCAGAAACACTGCAGACGAACAGAAAGCAGATGTTCAACAGCTGCTCGGCAACACGTTCCAGCAGAATCGGCTCTAATCTGAAGCTGATGTCAGCTGCAGCCTCTGATGTTTCAGCCGCTGCAGCGGAGAAGATGTTTTACTGCAGGTCAGTGATTTGTGTTGAACCCTGAAGGAGATTTTCTGGAGGACAAACTGACTGTTCACACGGATCAGAGGGAATGTGAAGCAGACTGTAACGCAACGCTTACTGGATGGTGGCAGAACTTGTTTTAGGATGATGAGTGCAAAGTTACGCAAAACTCACTACAGGGAACAATCAAAGGTTTGACCAGGTAGAAGTGTTGCTTGGTAACACAAAACCTGCCGTGAGATGATGTGAGAGTTACTGCAAAGCGACAAAAGTTAGTGTGAGGACATGCAACAGTTGTGGTGAAGTAACGCATGACTGAGCACAGTTCTGCAGAAATGATGACGTACTGTCAACGTATCCTCAACGTAGAACAGGTTGCAGCTAATTCACAGCTTGCTGCTGAGTTACTGTCGCGTTTAATCAGTTACTGGAAGGAAAGTGAAGCACATTGTTCCCGCAGACCGCTGCAGGTTCTGCAGGTTCTGCAGGTTGGTGTGCAGCAGCTGAAGTCGCTCTGAAGTGACATCGAGACAAAAAGAGGCCAATACTCCACCTGGATCTTGTTGAAGTACTGCCCGGCCTCGAACGGAACCACGTTGTAGGTGGAGATGCCGATGATGGGTTTGTCCGTGGGGTTCTTGGCCCGGTAGAAGGCGAGCGCCGTCTCACCTGGAACCACCTGCAGGGAGAAGCTCCATTAGACGAATGTGTTCAACTTCCTGTTTGTTCCTGATGAAGTGAATCCTGTTTCTGTATTTACTGTGCCGGTTCTGTGGCGTTTCCATCAGAACTTATGGATCAGTAAGTAATCGGTGTGATCGTTGGACTTACGAAGATCTCCGTCTGCTGCGGTCTGAAGTTCCACTGCATGCTGGCGTGCGTGTCGGCGTTGAACGTCACCTTGATGACTCGTTCCTTCACCGGCGTCATGGTGGCCACCTGCTCCGTGTCGTGTCCGGCCACCGCCGTGCCGCCGAGCCCCGCCGCCTGGCAGTAGAGCCGGTAGAGCGGCACGGCGGCGTACGACAGGCCGATCATGCCCACGCCGGCGGCGGCGATGTAGGTCAGCACCGTCTTGTTCCTGCGCTGCCACTCGTCCTGCTGGGGGCGCCACTTCCTGCCACGGCTCTGAGCGACGAGGCGAGCGGGAAGCCGCCGCCGCAGGAAGTGCCCGGCCTGAGAGTGCAGCGTCCGGACGCAGCCCGGCAACAGAACCGAGGCCTGAACGCCACAGAGCGACGGACGCAGCAGGAGAGGAAGCAACATGGCGGCGAGCCTCACCTGAGGACGCTCACCTGGACGGAGACGACAGGAAGTTCAGACATGAAACACATTTGACTTGTTCCAACAAGATGTTTGTATTTATGCATTTCTGAACGGAGTTTAGTTTGTTCATGTGCAGTTCAATACGATAAAGCAGAATCAACTTTAGACATTTCTTTTATTATAATATATTTTTTGGGCTTTTGTCTTTATGTAGAGCAGCAGAGAGAGAGACAGGAAAGAGGCAACATCTCCAGACATCAGCAGGAAGCTACAGCTTGGACACTAATGGGTCTTCAGATGGACAATGACCCTCAGCATAGCACCAGATTAGCTACAGAGAGGCTTCAGGACAACAGAGTCAGTGTTGTGGAGTGGCCATCACAAAGCCCTGATCTCCATCCTGGAGAACATCAGTGGAGGAAGGAGACCAACAAACCTGACCCAGTTCCACCAGTTCTGTCAGGAGGAATGGGCCAGAACTCATCAGACTGTTGTGAGAAGCTTGTGGATGGAAACCCAGAACGTTTGACCCAAAGTCATAGAGTTTAAAGGCAACGCTAGCAGATACTGAGGAGATGGATGGAAACTTCTGACTCTGAAGAAAGTCATAAAACATTCTGTCTCTCATTGTTCTGGTGTTTAGCAAATAGAACTAACGCTGGTGATCCTGACTGAGCTGAAACAGGAAGAGTTTAGTCTGACTTAATGTCAGACGGTGAGAAATAAAGGTTTTATGTCTTCTATACGTGGATGTAAACATCTGGTTTCAATATAAATGTGCATCTAATGATGAGAAAACCAAACCAAACTCCATTCTGTAAAGTTATGATTTAACGCTGCTTCACTTGTTAACACGTAATTCAAATGTGTTTAATCATCACTGAACACATTTTCCACTTTCATAAAAGCCACTCTTTAATTCTGCATATGACACAGTCAATAAAGAAATATTGATTAACCAAACTCCACTGAAAATAAAACCCACTTTAAAAACGTTCTGCTTTCTAACAAACGTCCTGTTGTTATATGACTACATTAATTTTAGAAGTGAGTAAACGTGACACACTGAGCAGCATTTATTTCATTGTATATTGATCTCAACCTATTGATTACCCCAAACTCCAATTTAAAAAAGTTGAAATTTACAGATTCTTTGCTTATTAACAAATGTTCTTGTTTTGCTGTAATATTAAAAACTACATTTTCCACTTTAGTAAAAGAGCCTCTTTAATTCGGCATTTTTTAATTTAACAAACTGAACAAACAGACACACCTGACCTACAGGAGACACCGGTGCGATAACGCTAGCTTAGCTTAGCTTAGCTTAGCTTAGCCGCTAACAGACGACAGTGTAAAATCACATCATGACGTTGATTCTAAACACAGTTTCATTGTGAGATTCTCTGAATTAAACGCTGGTACCTTCGTAGAGAAGCTTCTCTGTCAGTCACCGCTGCTCAGACGACTTCTTACCAAACATGTTTTCCGGAAGCGCAGCGGTGTAACACGCAACCTGCTCCGTCCTCAAACCTCGAGCAGAAAGGTTCCGCCCGGGCTGACAGTCAACCGATCACAGGTCAGAAGTTGTTGTTTATTTGTTTGTTGGAGACAAAACAGCGGCGCAGTAAAACTCTACAGTTATAATAATGCAGCCTCTGGTTTGCGGTAATTTAAAATAATAAATGATAATAATGTTTATGTCCTGAAGCACCTGTAAACAGTGGATGTAAACCAACATCTAAATGTCTCCTGTGCTGCCATTCATTCTGTTTTATTCCTGTTTGCCATTTGTTGTATATTCCTACATGTTATATTAAGAGCACGTTGTCTTCCCTGAACACATTGTTGTTAGTTTTATATTTTGTCTCTTTGTGGTTGTTCTGTTGGCTGATGACTTATTTTTAAATGATTCAGGTAATTTATTGGAGCATATTACATTTTTACACTATTACAAAACCCTAATATTTAAATGATTCAGGTGATTTTGCATTTTCTATAACAATATACTGTCTTAACCTTAGAATTTAAATGACTCAGTTAAATAATGTTATAATGTTTCACTGTGTGCACAAGTTTACCTTTATTAAGGTGAAGCCCCCACGATAATATTTATTATATCAGTGTCTCTAAATAGCTTAAATATTAAGGTCACCACCATACAGTATTATTTATTATATACATTTTCTGAAGGAACTTTATACGGAGAAAGAAAAGAAAACACAGGGAGAGGAAAAATCACTACAGGTATATATACTGTTGGGCCTTTTTGGCAGAATGGAGAAACAATGGAGGACACCATCCGTAGCAGAGTTTTATTGAGTTTTATTTTACAATATAAAGACATTCAAGCAGTGATCAGCGAGAGGCACAGTTCTCACAAACCGTCCAACAAGACTGATGAGCTCACAGAGGATCCCTCGATTTGGTTTGTCCTCTCCCTGTTGTTGTTCTTTCTCCATGTCCCTTCCGGGGCTCCGTATAATCTAAATATTATATATCTAAATATGATCCTAAATTATTTTTCATTATATTTATTTATATCAACCTTAAAAATGAGGTAATGACTCTACAATCTAAATTTAGCCAATAAGTTAAGTTAGATATTAAGGTGAATACCCTCTGATATTATATATTTTATGGCTTTACTGAATAAGCTCGCATATTCCAGGTTAGATCTTAGAGTTTTATTTATTATTCAGGTCAAAAACGACAATATTATTTATTATAAGGACTCACTGGACAAGTGTCAGTATCTCAGCTAAGACACTGCTATATACCACTATAATAAATGTACCTGTAACCCACCTGATTACAGGTAATAACAGGTTAATTCTGGGGATGAACGTGGTAAATAGCGGCTACGGCGGCCGTGCGGGGTCAGACGCGCTGCGCCGTCGTTGTGAGGGGCTGCTGTAATGGAGGGGGTCACGGTCGGACAGGTATTTGATGCCGAATGCATCCTCAGCAAACGGCCGCGGAAGGTAAGAGCCGGGCCCGGGGCCGGAGGGGTTCGGTGGCCCGGAGGAGCGGCTGTTTAACGGTCTGTGCTTGTCGTGTGTCCGCAGGGGAAGTTCGAGTATCTGGTGAAGTGGAGGGGCTGGTCGTCCAAGTAAGTACCGCTAGCCGCTGCTAGCTGCTAGCTTCGCTGCTAGCTGCGCTGCTAGCTTCGCCGCTAGTCGCTGCTAGCTGCTGCTAGCTGCGCTGCTAGCCGCCGCTGCTAGCGACGCTCAGCGCCGAAAATGGCCCCAAACAATGCGGCTCCGTGTTCGCCGCTGCCAGGCTGCTGAGTCCGGCCACCGGGGCCGAACCACCGGGGTTCCGCTCAGCACTCCGACCGGGGAGTCCAGCGAGAAGCAGCCGCCGGTTCTGACCCGTTAGTCCGCGTCTCTGCGCCTCGGCAGCGGATGCTAGTTCAGTCTCAGACCGGGACCAGAGGCAGGTTCGGCTGGATCAGCTGCGTCCATTTAACAGAACCAGAACCTGCAGGAAATCTAGAAATCACATCCAGAGCCGGGAGACGGTAGACTAGAACCAGAACCTGGAGGAAATACACAAACCACAAGCAGAACTTGGAAGAAAACAAATCGGAACCTGGAATAAACGCACCAGAACCTGAAGAAACACACCAGAACCAGAACCTGTCGGGAATATAGGTATAGTACACCTGGACCTGGAAACACATGCTGGAACCAGAACCCGGATGAAACACAGAAACTTCAAACACAACCTGGAGAAAGATTTAGAAACCACAGAACCGACAGAACCAACACCAGAACCTCGAATAAATACAGAAACCACAGTCAGAACCCCAACAATATATACCAGAACCTTGAGACCAGACCAGAACCTGAAATAAAAACTGTAACCACAAATAAAATTTCTTATAGAACCAGGGAAGCCTAAACCAGAACCAGAACCTGAGGAAATACAGAATCCACAAGCAGAACTGAAGAAAATCTGCTAGACCCATAATCTGGAGAACGCGTAACAGAACCTGCAGAAACCACAATGATAAAGCAGCTCCAGTGTTTGTTAATGAAAACATGTTTAAATGTTCTGGTTCTGAAACTAAACCCGTTTTCTGATGTCTTCAGGCACAACAGTTGGGAGCCGGAGGAGAACATTCTGGACCCGAGACTTCTGGCAGCGTTCCACAAGAGGTCCGTTTACTCATTGATCATGTGACTGGCTCAGGATTGATACTGATTATTGATAATCAATTGATTTATTTAATCAGGATTTGGCTAAAAACCAACACTGATGATCAGAGAAACCAGCGGATCAGAACAGAACCGGCTTGTGGTGCCGGATGAATAAAACAGAAAAATACAAGAATTCTTGTCAGAAACAACAGACGAGTTTTTAGATTGTTGGTTTGTTTGTTGATTATTTATTTATTGATATTTATTCTCGTTTGTTTTCAGTTTCAGATCGTTTTTTAAATCAAAGAATAAAAATCAGCAAAACTTTAAACCGTAGACAGAAGAAAAGTCGTAGTTTCATGGTAGAAATCAACATGAAACGACGAGTAAAGCCAACATTTGTCTTCTACCTCCAGTTATACAAACACGAACTCAGTGTCGTATTAATTTGTGATATTTCGTCGTGTGAACGTCGCCTCAACATCTAATTAAAACTGACACTACCTGACCAGAAGTATGTGGACAGCTGAAGCTTTGTGTTTGTTATGATTTATACAGAATTGACCCCAAAGTGTCCACATACTTTTGTCACTTTGTCTTCACTAAACTGTCTAATTGAATTAAACACTTTCTGTGTTCAAAAGTATGTGGACGCCTTTGGGTTTTGTATGGTGATGGGTGTCCACATACTTTTGGCCATTTATTGTATAAGCAGACGCTGATACATACACAGATCTGTTTAATACACCACTTGGCTGAAAGTATGTGGACAGCTGAACGTCACAGCATATGAGATTGATGTGGTTCTGGCCCGAAGAGTGTCCGCATACTTTTGGTCGTATGCTGTATTTTTCTAAGGCAGCCAGTTTCTCAGGAATAATTCATCTCAGAGTTAATTTTAAAAATGTGAGGAGCTAATTTGAAGTTGAGCTGAAGCACACACCATTAAAACAATAGAACAAGTCACATTTTCCAGAGTTTTGGTCTTTAATGCTGAACTTTAAATGGTGGAGCTGCAGGTTGTTTGGCGGGAACGTTTGGTATTTCAGCCATGTTTTTAGCGCTCATCTGTTCTTAACTGTATAAACGCACCGGATTCAAAGTGGATTCTTCTGGGAGCAAGTTCCAAAACACTTCCACTCCTATGAACTCAAAGCTTGATTCTGAAGCTGATTTCTTATTGAAACTATTTCCTCATAAACGAGGCGGATGGACTGAAGGACAGCAGCTGGACTGAAGCTGTTCGACGCCGAATATAAAAACTGTTGTTTAAATAAAACGAAGCGTCGCTGCGCAGAGATGAAATCATGAGAAGTGTTTGGTCTCTGCTCTGACGGTTTCATCTATAAGCTAGTTTAGAGAAAGTGGAGTTTGTTTTCTGTTTCAGACCAGATCTGCTGTTTAGTCAGAGTGTTGCATTGTGGGTAGCGTGTGGCCTCGGTGTCGCTGAGCTGCTTTGCTTCTCTGGTGTTCGGTTGTGTAACTGAAGCTGCTGAATGGTCTGAGTGCTGCGTTTGGAGGCTGGTTCTGGTCCATGTGTGGCTGATTTATGGCGTCTGGCAGCTCATGTGAAGGGAAAGTGTTCCTGTTTATTCAGTCCAGATGCGTCGGAGCTGCAGCAGATCTGCAGATACTTATTGTGTACGGATCAGAACCGTTTGGATGGTTTCAGCGAGTCGGTTCAGTCAGTTCAGGTTAAAGCTGCAGGAATCTGCTGTAAGTGAATTCACCGTGCGGGTTTTCTGATGCTCAGGCCAGTGTTTTGTGTCATTTTGGACAATTTTTTACGACAGTTTGAACAATTCTGACGAATAAAAATACATCTGAGTTGATTTTTTAAACCTCAGGTGTCACAGTGTGAAGCTAACAGAAGTCTGCGTCTTGTCTGATCTGTTTTGTTATTTTGAGCAGCTTCTGAGTCATTTGGACGAATACTGGGTCTTTTTTTTTTTGCAGGTTTTTTTGGGCAAATTTTGGGAAATGTGTAATAATTGTTGTGTTCATTACTTTAACAGCAAGACTGAAAGAAATTCATCCTGATTCTAAAAACTGTGAGAGGCGACCAAACCAGAGCTAAAAATCAGGATCCATTCATCGGCCCGGATTGGAATCAGAACTTTTTTAAATGGAGTTTGGTCGGATGAAGGTTCATTGGATGTTGATTAATGTATTTATTGTTAATGTTTTCTAGAGAACAAGAGCGAGAGCTGCTGTTCCAGAAGAAAGGGAAGCGACCGAGAGGACGACCTCGAAAGATTCTGGTAAGAACCCGTCCATCCTGTGATTCTGAATGCCAACGCCGCCGCGGTGCCTGATGGTGTTTGTGTTTCCAGCAGCCTGCTCCAGCCGCCACCAAGGACAGCCGCTCTTCATCCTCCTCCTCCTCCGGCCTCTCCTCCTCGGCCTCCTCGTCTTCCTCCGAGGACGAAGATCACACGAAGAAGCCGAAGCCGGGCCCTCGGCTCCATCCCGTCCCCCAGAAGAGGCCCCAGATCATGCTGGCCAAACCCGACCCGCCCCGTAAGAAGAAGCGAGGCAGGAAGCCGCTGCATCCGGACCTGAGAGCTCTGAGGCAGGCCAAGCCCCGCCCCCCTGCCCCGCCGCCGCCGCCCGCTCCTCGACACCACCAGGTGCTCCGGAGAGACGAGCCGCGACCCGGCGTCAAGAAGCCGCTGCAGCCGGCCAGCTTCACCTACACCGGCCTCAGCAGGAGCTCCAGGGACGACGGCTCCCAGACCTCCAGCTCCTTCTCCCAGACGGCCTCCAAGCCCGGATCCCTCAGCTGCATCTGGACCAATCGCTCGCTGTCGTCCTCGTCCCCGTCCTCCGGCTCCGCCCACAAGTCCAGCCCGTCTCCACAAAGTAAGAACTCTCTGTCCGAGCTGAAGCGCTCCGTCTCAGAAACATCTCGAGACGGTTTCAAGGTGTCGTCTCTGAAGCAGGGCGGCTCGCTGGGCTCCCACGGCTTCGGCCCGACGGCGGCTCATCGCTCGCCACTGGCTCAGAGGCGGCAGGACGGCGGTCCGACCGGACTGGTTCCACACAAGCAGCAGAACTCCAGTCTGTCCAAACCGTCGTCGTCCTCGCCGTCGCCTCGAGACCGAGCCAGTCAGGCACTGAGCCTGCGAGCGCTCAACCTGCAGAGCGTCAAGCCGCCGGCCGGCAGCCTTCAGGGGAACACGAGCGGCGCCGTGGCCGCCGTGGCGAGGTCCAGTTTACGGAGCGGCAGCATCGTGGTGAAAGGAGGCGTCGGGAAGGAGATGCGAACGCCAGGAGGGCAGCGCTCCAGTCTGACAGCAGGAGGCGCCGCAGAGCAGAACCGGGCCAAGGAGAAGCTGGCGGGCGGCAGTTCTGGTCGAGGCAGGCCGGAGAAACACGGGCTCAGCTCTCAGAACCGCAGCCTGAACGAGCTCAGTACCGGAGACTCGGACGACAGCAGCAGCAGCGAGTCGGAGCAGGATGCCGCCATGTTCCCCGGCAACAGCAGGCCCAGCCTCGGCAACAACGCCACCGAGTCGGACACGGAGACGGACTGGCGGCCGACCCGGAGCCTCCTGGAGCACGTCTTCGTCACGGACGTCACCGCCAACTTCATCACGGTGACGGTGAAGGAGTCGCCGACCAGCGTCGGGTTCTTCAACTCCAGGAATCACTAAGGGGCGGAGCCTCAGCCGGACAACACTCCTCTACGACCGCTCAGGGTTCCTACAGTCACTCTTAGCTCCGCCCACCACGGCGCCGCCCGACAGACGGTTCTTTGGTTCCAGTAATCCACAGCAAAGAGATCGGACTGAGGAAGGCGGTCCTTTGGTTGAAGCAGCGTAGGAACCCTGAAGCTTGGACTCCGTTTACGTCTGACCACAGTTCAGTCTGCACACAGGAAACAGGAAGTGATGAAGGTCAACAGGAGGCTGGGGTTTGGCTTTGATTCAGAACCTCTTATCTTGTTCATAGTTCCTCTAAATTACAAAAACATCATAGTCAGAAGTTCATATGACTGTTTTGTTATAGCTAATCACCAGTTAGCTGCAGCGCTACGACGAGCCGTCATCCAACCAAACTCCATGAGAAAAAGTTCTAATTTAAGTCCAGGCCGATGAATGGATCCTGATTTAGGATCAGGATGAATTTCTGTCAGGTGGGTTGATGTGTGACGTTCAGTTGGAGGTTTTCAACAGATGGAGGCTCTTCATTTACGCATTTATCAGTCGGTCAGAAGAAGAAATACGACGGTTTGTAGCAGCAGCGACTGAATCAAAGTCTTCATGTGTTGAACTACGAAACCTCCAACTGAACCTCACATGACGTCCCATCTCAGAAATGCATCTAAGATCTGAGGCGACCAAATCAGAGCTAAAAGGATTCAGGATTCATTCATATGCCTGGATTTAAATTAGAACTTTTTCTAATGGAGTTTGGTTGGATGAAGGTTCATTCCTGCAGCTCATGAAGATCATCACCATCTATTGATCTGTTGATTGTTTTCTGGATTAATGAATTTGTTATTTGGTCTCTAAAATGGTGAAAAATGTGGATCAGAGTTTCCTCAAATGTCTTGTTTTGTCCAAAGATCTTCATTTTGCTGTCGCAGGGGAAAGAAACCAGAAAATATTCAGACTGAAGAAGCTGAAATCAGTCGTTTTCTTCGTTAAACCAAAACAGCTGTTGATTAACTGACTAGTTGACAACTGATTTGATTAAGTGTTGCAGCTCTAGTTCTTGCCGTAAAAACCTCCAGTTGAACGTCACTTGACAACTGAAATCCATCCTGATCCGAACACCTGCTGGAGGCGACCAAACCAGAGCTCAAAGTCAGGATTCGATCGTCTGTCGTCTGGGTTTAAATCGGAGCTTTTTTAAATGGAGTTTGGTTTGACGGAGGCTGAATCCACAAGTGAGGAATGTTGATGAACCTTTCCTCAGATGCCACGTTCAGCCTCTTGTGTTTGTGATTCCTGTCGATAAATCTCGAACCCTGTTCAGACTGAGCTGCGTTCGGCGGCGTGTCGACGGCGCCCAGCGCTCCAGATGGATGTATATTCCACCTCTCCAGTGCCTCAGGTTTCCTCTCAGCAGGACTTTCAGACTATCAGACCCACTGCCACCGCCGGCCGTCCTGCCCACCAGCTCCAGGAGGACGTTTGTGCTCGTCGGACCTGTAATCGGACTCAATGTGTGGCGCCGTCCAGGGCAGCATGTTTAAAAGTGTTCAGAAAAAAGCAGCAGCGAGTGTCGTGATCGGTAACTTCTCATCGTCCCATCGGGGTTCTTTGTAATCGTCTTTCCTTTGGACCAAAGGTGTTACGAATGTCTTGTTTCTAATCGTATTATTGACAGTATTTCTTGCACTACGCACAGTCCAGATGTAAGCTGACTGAGACGTCCATTATCACCGATATATAGCAGTTTTGTACCATTTGAATACATCCTCGTGTCTTTTGGAGTTGATATGTGTTAATTTATATTTGTAAATATGGTTTTTCATGTGATCTATCTGGTGCTCGTGTCGGCCGACTAGCTTCACACCCTGTAGCCGGCGTGCCTCTGCCATGTACGGTCCAAATAAACCACAAGCTCAGAGCGAGTTTGGCTGCTGTTCATGTGTTCACCAGCGGGAGGCGCCGCCGCCGCACAGAAAATCAGAAATCAGCCCAAACTGATCGATGAGCTGTGAACACACGGCCTCGATCAGAGAGAAGATCAATAATCAGCTGATCAGCGTTAATGATCAAATGTTTACATGAACAAAACCAGACTGAGAATAAATAAACAAACCAATTAAATCAATTAGTAAAGCAATGAATGGATGAATAAACCCAGTGAAGGGATGAATACAGCAATGAAGAGATGAAGGAACCAAGTGAATGGATGAATAACGTGAATAAATCCAGTGAATGAATGAATTAATCACGTGAAAGGAGTAATACACAAGATGAATACATCAAGTGAACGAATGAATAATGTGAATGGATTAATACAGATAAACGGTTCAGTACATCCAGTGAACACATGAATAAACCAAGTGAACAGATTCATGAGTCAAATGAATCCAGAATGAATGGATGAATAAAAAAAAGAGTTATTAAATCCAGTGAATGAGTTAATAAGGCATCTGAAAGGATTAATAAACTAAATCAAACAATTAATAATCCGGTAAACACATGAATACATCCAGTGAATGGATGAATAGGTGAAATGAATGATTAACAGTTTATTAAAGCACGTATGTGAATGGATGAATGAATGCAGTGAACTGATTAATTTAGTGAGAGGGTGACTAAACCAAACGAACAGATGTGAACACAGAAGTGAACGGATGAATAAACCAAGTGGACGGATTTACAGTCTGAGAACACGAAGTGATGAACTGATGAATGAAACGAGTGAACACATGAACAGAGTGAATGGAAGAAGTGTGTGTGTGTGTGTGTGTGTGTGTGTGTGTGTGTGTGTGTGTGACAGCAACTGCAGCTTCGGTGGTTTCTGTTTAAACTGAGTTGGAATTTTCCTGAAATAAGTCAGTAAACATGAAGCTACAGAGGCGCCTCAGAGCCGCTGAACACAGGACCAGTGTGAGCCTCCGCCTCCACAGCGCCCCCACCCTCAGCTGCACGCTACTGCATCGCTGCATGCAGCTGCTGCAGACACTCTGCAGATCCAGTGGAAAGTCAGAACCATGAAGACTGACAGAAACCCCTGCTGCCCCCTGGTGGCTGCTGCAGCAACATGCAGGTAAAGTCACCGCAGATACTTTAGATTTTTTTAAATTAAATTCAACTAAATAAAAAACTGCATATAAAAACTCTAAGTGGACCAGAAGTTTCATCTTTTCGTCACCTAATTATTCATCTATGTCAGACTTTACAGCTTCTCTACAGTGACGGCAGCTGTTAGCATGTTAGCAGACCTGCAGCCTGGTAGCCTGTTAGCTTGTTAGTGTATTAGCAGACCTGCAGCCTGTTAGCTTGTTAGCATGCTAGCAGACCTGTAGCCTAGTAGTCTGGTAGCTTGTTAGCATGTTAGCAGACCTGCAGCCTGCTAGCTTGTTAGCATGTTAGCAGTCCTTCAGCCTGTTATCCTGTTAGCTTGTTAGCATGTTAGCAGACATGCAACATAGTAACCTGTTAGCTTGTTAGCATACATGCAGCTGAGTAGCCTGTTAGCTTGTTAGCAGACCTGCAGCCTAGTAGCCTGTTAGCATTTTAGCAGATGTGCAGCATAGTAGCCTCTTTGCTTGTTAGCATGTTAGCAGATGTGCAGCATAGTAGCCTGTTAGCATGTTAGCAGACATGCAGCCTAGTAGTAGACCTGCAACCTGCTAGCCTGTTAGCCTCCTCCATGTAGCCCACCTCTGTCTGGACCGGCTCCAGCCTCAGTGGGTTCTGAGAAGCTCCAACAGCAGCAGCAGCTTTTCAACCCGACGAGGAGATCTGATGACGACAAACTGTTAAACTCTCGGGACGGTTCTGTGAATTCTGTATTCTGTGAATTCTGTATTGAGGAGCTGAATGTTGTAACTTTTAACAGTTAGACTGCGTAATTATCTGTAATTTAATTAATCAAAAAGAGCGTTTCAAACATCCACGTGACATCACTCACACCATCAGCCAAAAATGGCCATTTTTGAGCAAAAATGGCCCGGCATGCTCG